AGTGAGCTAAAATGGACCAGTCGTGGCCATTCTGAATCAAACAATCATATGATCTACTATGCTGGAATGACAAATTGAAGAGGAATGGCATGGCATTCATCATCACAAAGAATGTATCAAGATCTATCCTGAAGTACGATGCTGTCAGTAATAGGATAATATCCATATGCCTGTAAGGAAGACTAGTTAATACTATTATCATTCAAATTTATGCACCAATCACTAAAGCCAAAGATGAAGAAATTGAAGATTTTTACCATCTTCTGCAGTCTAGAATTGACTGAACATGCAATCAAGATGTGTTAATTATCACTGGTGATTGGAATTCAAAAGCTTGAAACAAAGAATCACCAGTAGTTGGAAAATATGGCCTTGGTGATAGAAATGACGCTGGAGACTACATGATAGAATTTTGTAAGACCAATGACTTAATTGTTGTAAATACCTTTTTTCAACAACACAAATTGTGGCTATACACATGGACTTTGCCAGACCGAGTACACAGGCCTCAGATCGACTGTATCTATGGAAAGAGGCAATGGAGAAGCTCAGTATCCCACTTTGTAGAAAAAGAATTGGCAAATGAACATCCATTCCAGGAGGTGGCATATGATCAAGAAACAATGATACTGAAGGAAGAAGTCGAAGCTGCACTGAAGGAATTGGTGAAAAACAAGGCTCCAGGAATTGATGGAATACTCGTTAAGATGTTTCAACAAATGGATGCCACACTCGATGTACCCACTCGGCTATGCCAAGAGATTTGGAAGACAGCTAGCTACCTGGCCAACTGACTGGAAGAGATCCATATTTGTACCCATTCCAAAGAAAAGTGATGCCACAGAATGAAAATTATTGAACAATATCACTGATATCACATGCAAGTAAAATCTTGCTGAAGGTAATTCAAAAACAGTTGCAGTAGTATACTGTCAGCAGTAGTATACTGACAGAGAACTTCCAAAAATGCAAGCTAGATTCAGAAGGGGACATGGAGCAAGGGATACCACTGCTGATGTCAGATGGATCTTGGCTATAAGCAAAGAATACCAGAAAGATGTTTACTTGTGTTTTATCGACTGTGCAAAGGTATTCAACCATGTGGATCATAACAAATTGTGGATAACATTGTGAAGAATGGGAATTCTAGAATACTTAATTGTACTCATGAGGAACCTGTACATAGACTAGGAGGCTGTTGTTCAAACAGAACAAGGGGATCTGCATGGTTTAAAATCAGTAAGGGAGCGTGTCAGGGTTGTATCCTTTCACCACACCTATTCAATATGTATGCTGAGCAAATAATCCAAGAAGCTGGACTATATGAAGAAGAATGTGGCATCAGGATTGGAGGAAGGCTCATTAACAACCTGAGATACACAGATGACACAACTCTGCCTGGTGAAAGTGAGGATGACTTGAAACACTTACTGATGAAGATTAAGGACTATCAGTATGGATTACACTTCAATATACAGAAAACAAAAATTCTCACAACTGGACCAATAAGTAGCATCACAATAAATGGAGAAAAGATTGAACTTGTCAAAGATTTCATATTGCTTGCTTCTACAATAAACACCAATGGAAGCAGCAGTCCACACATCAAAAGATGTACTACATTGGGCAAATCTGCTGCAAAAGACCTTTCATGTGCTGAAGAGCAAAGATACCTCCTTGAAGACTAAGATGCACTAACCCAAGCCATGGTATTTTCAATCACCTCATATGCATGTGAGCAATGGACAATCAATAAGGCAGGCCAAAGAAGAGTTAATGCTTCTGAGTTGTGGTGTTGGAGAAGAATGCTGAAAGTACCGTGTACTGCTAAAAGAACTAACAAATCTGTCCTGGAAGAAGTGCAGGTGGAACACTCCTTGGAAGTAAGAATGGCCAGACTTCATCCCACCTCCTTTGGTCATGTTGTAAGAAGGGACCACTCTCTACAGAGGGATGTCATGCTTGGTAAAGTGGAGGGTCAATGAAAAAGGAGAAGGCCCTTGACAAGATGGATTGACAGTGGCTGCAGCGGTGGGCTCAGGTATAGGAGGGATCATGCGGCTGGCACAGGACTGAGCAGTGTTTTGTTCCGTTGTACATAAGGTCACTATAAGTCGGAGACAACTTGATGGCATGTAACAAGAGGCAGAAGAATCTCTCTCTGCTAGCTGAGAGAAATGTGCTGCTGAGAGAGACTGCCAGATGAGAGAGACTGAACATGTTCCTCAACTTGATTTGTAGCCTGTTGCTTCCCTAATAAACCCCATAATCTGTGAGTTCTGTGTGGCCACTGCAGCGAATTATTGAACCCAGCAGAGAGGTGGTGGGTGCCGTGAGAGAGATGGTGGTATCAAGGTTGGTAAGAGGGCTGGACGGTGGTGGCCTGTCTGGCCTCATATGAACAGGCCTTGGGCTGCTTATGGTGATTCTAGTATCCTTTTGTGTAGTTAGGTGAGTTTCAGAAAATGCTGCCTTCTTGACCCTTTAGCAGGGGCAAGTCCTTGGTCTATCTTATGTGTTACAAATACTTTTCCCTTAGACTAAACACTGTGTTTAAGGATTTGTTTTAACCAAATATTTTATTATACACACACACTTATTTATATTTCGGTGTCAAATAATCTCTTCTTGAATGGCTTTTGGGTTTTTTAATTTTACTTAGAAAGGTCTTCTACACTTCAAAATAAGAATATATAATAAATATATGTCACACACACACATATACACATACATATATACCAAAAAACCCAAACTCACTGCCGTCGAGTCGATTACGACTCATAGCGACTCCTCCTTGGGTTTACGAGGCAGTATCACTACGGAAGTAGATTGCCCAGTCTTCCTTCTGACCAGTCTGTTTGAACAATATATATTTACCTATAATTTATTTTAGTACCTTTATGATTTCATTTCTTACTATTAAATCTTTCATGTATGTGGATTTAATTTGGTTAAAAGTGTGAGTTAAAGATTCAGGTTAATTTTTCTCAAATGTCTAGACTGTTGTCCTACCCTATATCATGTATTTAACAATTCACCTTTTCCACTTTATCTTCAAATGCTTTGCCATATAAACAATGTTCCATTTATTCTTAGATATATTTCTTGATAATCTCATCTATTCTATTCATCTGGCCATCTACTGCTGTGCCAATTCCAAACTATTTAAAATACCGTTGCCTTATAGTAAGTATAGAGGAGCCCTGGTGATGCACTGGTTAAGTGCTCAGCTGCTAACCAAAAGGTCAGCATTTGAAACCCACCAGTCAGTCAGCGGGAGAAAGATGTGGCATTTTGGTTCCATGAAGATTACAGCCTTGGAAACCCTATGGGGCAGCTCTACTCTGTCCTACAGGGTTGCGATGAGTTGGAATCGACTCAATGGTAGTAGGTTTGTTTTATAGTAAGTATTCCCATACAGCTAAAATATTATTCCTCATTATTCTTTAAGACATTTTCTGACTTATTCTCCGAAGCTTTATTCTTCCACAGAACTTAAAAATGATTGTCAAATTTACAAACACACATGCATACACATACCTTTACTAGGTTTCTAATTAAATTTATAGGTTAATTTAGAAACAGCTAACATTTTATATTGAGCCTTCCTTTCAATGAACAAAGTAACTTTTCTAACTATATTCAAAAGTCAGTACTGATTTTGTTATGTTTCTTCCTAATTGTTTTTACTTACTGTAAATACTGTTCTCTATTAAGTTTTTCTAACTGGCTGTTTTAAAAGCTATTAGTTTTTAAGCTGAAAACTATGAAAATTACTAAATTCACCTGTATCATATACCTCTGCGGTGTAGTAAATTACTTAGTGTGGCTTTTCTACCCATAAGTCTTTGTAAACTCCAAGGTGGGATTTGCTATGAGCAACTGAGGAGCTCCTGATTGCTGAAAGTGTCCACCTGGAGTATTTCTGTTGGGAGTGGCACAAAACAGTGTTCTGGGAGGTGCCCACTCTCAGGTACTTAGAGTTCTGATGCTATAATTGGCTAGTTTGACCACTCTGCCGGGCTCAAAAGGAGGCCTCCTGGAGGAAGAACTTTCTCTGACTGCTGGTTGAGGAAGACGTGCTGCCGAAAGAGACCCATGCTCCTGAACGAGACACATGCTTCTGGGAAAGAGACGCAAGAGACACGCATTGCTGAGTGAGACACCGAGGGACCAGCACTGCTGGGAAAGAGACTGTGAGAGACTGTTGGCTGAGGGACAGTGGGCTGGGAGAGAGACTGAGCATTCTTCCTGAACTTGAGTTGTAGCCTGGTGCTTCCCTAATAAACCCCATAATCCGTGAGTTCTGTGTGGCCACTGCAGCGAATTATTGAACCCAGGAGAGAGGTGGTGGTGCTTTGGGAGGAATGGTTGGAGAAAGGGCTGGAGGGAGGCAGCATGTCTGGCCTTGCAGTAATAGGCCTTGGGTTACTGCTGGTAATCCTGTCTTCCTCTTGTGGGATTAGAGGAGGTCAGAACATGTGGCCTTCTCGCCGTTTTTGCAACCTCTTTCAGGTGATTCTCTTGGGTTTTCCAGGAATACAGTTATCACCTGTAAATAATAATTTTGGTTCCTCTTATCCAATATTTATCACTGATTATTTTATTCTCTTATCTAATTGCACTGGCTAATACATCCAGAAAAAAACTTACATACTAACAGGAATAATGGGTGTTTTAGACACTCCTAACTTTAATTGACTGCTTTTGGTGTTTCACTGTTTAGACTGATATTGCTGGTCTTTATTTGAGATATATTTTTTCAGCTAAAGGAAGCATTCATGTACTTATTTACTCAATATTTTAATCAGGAGGAGATGGTGTGAATTTTATCAAATTGATGGAAATGTCCATTAATCGATGAACAGATTTTCTAATTTAGAAATATCTTTGCATTACTGTAATGAGTCTCATTTGGCTATGATAGATTATTTAATAATCAGCTATATTGTATTGGTTAATATTTTCATTAGGAATTTTAACATTGATATGAAACTCACCTGATACTTTAATACATCTACATTATAATAAGAAGCAGCTGGATTTTGCTCTGATAACTTCTTGAGGTAGACAGTAACAGCTTGCATGTTCATCCAAAAATCTTTTGTGTTAGAATCACATTGTGATGGATCACTATATATAGAAGAAATATTTTTGTTATTTTGTCTTTATCCTTTACCTCTTGTTAATTTGGTGACCTATGAAAGACTAATAGAAATGAACCAATGGTAGGATGAAGGAAAAGTAACATTAGGGACTAAAAAACAGAATACAGCAGAAGTTTGCCTGAAAGAAGAAAAGATGGAGGAGAGACAGAGAGGATCTAACAACTACCATCATCAATTTAAAACAAAACAAAGACACAAAAGGCTGTTTAATAATCAGTAATTCTGCTATGGTCTTCAAACTGCATCCTGGTGTTTCAAAGAAAAAAACAATTGCTTAAAAAAGGACCTCACCTTCAAAACTTAACTCTAAGTTAATTTCATAACCACATTCAAGCACCTTGAGAGAGTAAGTTGCTAGACCTGCAGGCTTAGGACCACGGTCACAGGGGACATCTAGCTCAACTGGCACAACAGTATACAAAAATACTGTTCTACCTCCCACCTTGGTGAGGAGCCACTGGGGTCTTAAAAACTGGCGAGTGACCATCTAAAATGCAACTATTGGTCTCTCCTCATCCAGAGCAAAGAAGAGTGAAGAAAATCAAAGATGCATGGGAACAATTAGTCCCAGTGACTAATGGACCATGGGAACCTCAGGCCACAGGAACCTGAGACCAGATGAACTAGATGGTGCCCAGCTACCAAAGCCAACCACTTGGAAAGAGATCAAAATTGGAGATCCTGGATAGAGTGGGAGAAAAATGTGGAACAAAATTCAAAAATGCAAAAAAGATGAGGATTACTGGTCAGACAGAGGCTGGTGAAACCCCCAAGACTATGGTCCCTAGTCACCCTTTGGGCCTGGAACTGAACTCACTCCTGTGGCTTAACTCTCAGCCAAACCATAAACAGGCCTACGAGCTGAACCAAGAAAGATCAGAAGGACATTAGTGCAGGGAGTAAAGCTAGGGAGGAAGGAATATACAGGAGGGAAAAAAACCAAAAACACTCTTAAAGTAATTAAAAGTACACAAACCTGAACACAAGTTGTGCATTTGGAAGAATTTGCTCTAGTCTGCTGATATTTTTCACCCTGAAGCACAGCACAGCTGGAGATGGATTGCTAGTGAAGACTTTAATAACTCCGCTTGGAAATGATATTGTCATGTCACCAGTGATCTTCACAATACACCTAAAGTTAGGGATTTTGAAAAGTATTTAAATAAAATGCTTCAATCTCAATTCTAAGTATATCTGGTTTTAAAAGATAAATAACATATTGTGTGGGTGTATATAGACATCTTTCATCATAACTATGGGTGAAATATTTTTTCAACTTAATTATAAAAAATAAAATAGCATACACATCTAGCTTATCTTTTACTGAAATTAAACTCCTGAGACAAATGCACAGGTGACACTTTACTTTTCTGTGGTAACCATTCCCTGGCTATCCCCTAAAGATACTGCTGCTGCCTCAATAACAATCCCTAGTTGTAACTATGTCTCCCTGCCAGACCCCACAAAGTGCTAGGCCTGATGGTGGTAGCAGATGGCATTCTTGCTCCTCATTGCCTCTTCCAACTCTTTTGAAACCCATGCCATTGAACTATATACTACTTGCTACCCTATGCCCATCTTCAACACTTCATTTTTCTGACAATAGTAGCTCTAGGTTGTCCATTTTTCTGCACCACTATTTCTATTATAACTTTTAGTGATTTCAGTATTCAGAGATGACTCTTCCAATACCTTGGCCATCTATTTTTCATCCACTTACCTCCAATGATATTGTCTTCCAGCTTACCTCAGCCACAATGCAGCTCCTTCCATAACCTCAACTTCAGACTCCCCACTCATCTAAGTAGCACTTCCTATTTTTCCAACCTATTCCATCTAGTATCCATCTCCAGCAATTCTCCAATCCCAACAGACCTTCGGCTAATCTTCACTTACTCCTCCATGTCCTCATTTTCCTCCCATCTTTAGATTTTCTGGTCCGTCATTATATACACTCCTTTATTCCTCTTTCACATGACTGTGCTCACATGGCAAAACAAAATCTTGGCTAAATCCAGCTTCTTACATACAGCTAAATGTATATAAAATGTACACACTGGAGAAAAACATAAAACCATGCTAACTGGTTTCAGTATATATGCATATGTACGTCTGTGTATACGTGTGTGCATACATAAGCATATGTTTGTGCCTATACAGACAGATATACAGATATAAACATAAACATAAATATATATATATATATGTATGTATATATATATCTATATATCTCCAAAACCTTCAACTGGGCCCCCCTAGTGTTACCTGGCAGTCCTACTACATTCCTTCATCCATTTACTCTTCTGTTCTTTTCATACCTTCTCCTTTCTCTCTAACCTGTAATATTTCCTCTCACACGCTCAGCTGGTAACCTTACTTTTAATTTTTATTTTAGGAAATAAAATGAGAACAGAATTTCCTTATGTGCTCCCTACTAAACTCCTAACCTACCCATCTGTACCCATATTCTCTGCTTTCTCTCCTGTTTCAATAGATGATCAGTCTATGCACCTAAGGCCAATTTCACCACTTGTGCACTGGATCTCACCTCCTACCTATTACATACTAAAGGACTTTACTCATGCAACTATCCCTTCTTTTTCCTACAGCACCATTCCCCTCCCCCCCAAATACTGGATCTTTCCCATTAGCATACCAAAAACCAAACCAAACTCACTGCCATTGAGTCGAATCTGACTCATAGTGACCCCCTTTGGGTTTCCAAGGTGGTAAATCTTTACAGAATTAGATTGCCCTGTCTTCCTTCCATGGAGTGGTTTGTGGGTTTGAACCGCCAACCTTCTGGTTAGCAATCAAATGCTTTAGGCACTATGCTACCATAGCTCCTTCATCAGCATACAGACATAATGAAATATGTATGTGTGTGTATGTATACACACACACACATGTATGAAATAAAGACCCAACCACTAAAATACAGAAAACCTTCCTCTAATTGTACCATTTCACTCTTGATACTGCTCTATTTCTCTGCTCCCACTTAGGACAAAATATCTTGAAAAGAGTTGTCTATATTTGCTCTCTCCAAATACTGTTGTTGTTGTTATGTGCCATCGAGTCGGACCAGACTCACAGTGACCCCTCCTTGAGCTTCCAAGGCAGTATCACTATGGAAGTAGATTGCCCCATCTTCCTTCTGAGGAGTGGGTGGTCTCCAAATAGAGTTGTTTATATTTGCATCATCTCCTGCTCTTGAATATTCTCCAAGGAGGTTTTCATTTCTATTACCCCACTGAATTTTGGTCTTTTTTTTTTTTTTTTAATTAGGATTTGGGTGAAGGTTTACAGAGTAAATTCACTTTTTATACAGCAGTTCACATATACTTTGTCTCATGTCATTGACCAAAATTTACAATGCAGCAGCTCCCCTCCCACTTCCTCCCCATAGTTACCTCCTCCCAGTGTCCATCCCTTCATACTCTTCTGCACCCTGAGCTATCTCCCTGTGCATAAGCAGCCCTTCCTTCTCCTGAATTTTGGTCTTTTGAAAGTCACCAATAACTTCTCTATTGCCTATGGTAAATTTTTATCGACCTGTTAGTAACAACAGATATAGCTTCGCACCTTCTTCCTTGGAATAGTATTCAATTCATTTCTAAATCACTACTCTACTGGTACTCTCTTCACCTCTCTTGCTGCTTACTATCTTAAACTTCTCTGCTGTATCATTCTCATCTTCCTGCTTTTAAAATCCTAGAGAGCATATGGTATTTAAGGTTATGTGTCAACTTGGCTGGCTCTGGTTTTGAGTGGCTGGGCAGCTGGATGTAGTTATTTTCCATGATGAGATTGGTAATCAGCTCCATGAGGGAATCTACTGTGAGCAGCTGAGTAGCCTTAGGGATGTGGTCTGCTTCCAGTATGTAAGAAGATGCTTTGAGAAAGGTCTTGAGCTTTTGGCATGCTTGGATCTTGCATGTAGCTGAGTCGTCATTCAGCTGCCTGCATGTTGCTTTGCCGATCTTGGGACTGTTTCTGGGCTAGTGGCCTGCTGTGTTGTTTGATAATCTTGGGATTGTGCCATTTTACTTGTCGACCTGGGGTTTGTCAGCCTCCGCAGGCAGCGGCTGCTTGAGTTAAAGAGACACCTTGAGCTCCAGGAGACCAGGTGCAAGAGGCAGAGCTGAAGCCCAAAGTCGAGGGGCCTTCACTCAGCCTGAGAGCTGACACTTTGAACTCACACATCTAGCCTCCTAACCTATAAGAGAATAAACCCCTGCTTGATAAAGCCATCCACTCATGGTATTTTCTGTTAGAGTAGCACTAGAGAACTAAAACAGGGCCCCAGGGTATAGTTCTCAAACTTTTTGTCTGTCTATTCCCTATGGCTCACTGTTTTAAGTATTATATGCAAACTAATAACTAAGAAATTTTTTTATCTTTAACCTAGACCTGTCTCCTGAAGTCCAGAATCACGTATCTCACTATCAATCCAACTTCTGCACAAAGATGTCATAATAAGTACTTCAAATTTAGCACTCTAATCCCTCAGGAAATACTGACAACTCAGTTTTCTAAATATATTCAGAATCTCACTATTACTCACCACTCCTCTACCAATACCCTTATCCAAGCCACTATCCTTTCTCACTAGGACTTCTATAGTTACCCTTCTAATTCTCTCTGCATTTACTACCATGCCTTCAAAAATGTAAGCAAGCTCATCACTTCTCTACTTAAAGCCTCCACTGACTTCCCATCTCACTCAAAATAGATTAAAAATTTCTCATCGTGGACTACGTGTTGCCAACTGGATCTAGTATCTTTCTGGATTCATATTCTACCTAGTGACGCAGCATTCTTTGTGGTTTCTTAAATATGCAAAGCATCCTTTAAACTTAAGTTCCTCACCCTCACCAGTTTCCTCTTTCTGGGATGCTCTTCCCTCAGATACCTACATTGCTTGCTCCTCCATGTCTATCAAGCAGCTGCTTAAAATTAACCTCATCCAGTAGGTTTTCCCTGATCATTCTATCTAAAATAGAAGTCCTCTATCCCCTTACTCTGCTTTATTTTTCTTCATAGTATATATCAGTATCTTATAACCAAACAAACAAAAAACCGAACTCACTGCCATCAAGTCAATTCTGATTTACAGTGACCCTATAAGACAGACTAGAACTGCCCTATAGGGTTTCTAAGGCTGTAATCTTTATGGTAGCAGACTGTCACATCTTCCTTCTATGGAGTGACTGGTAGGTTCAAACCACTGACCTTTTGGGTCTGTTTCTTTGATTATTGTTTTTCCTTCATTATAATGTAAGCTCAGGAGAGAAGAACTTTGTTTTGTTCACTAAAGTATAATCGAGCCTGACATACAATAAGCACTCAAATATTTTAAGGTTAAATAATAATGTTATATAAGAAAAGTAGGGGTGATCATTCACACAAATATAATTATCTTTAAAGAAAGAGGCTATACCTGGTCTTTCAGAGTCTCATGTATTAAACATGTATTCTAGATCTCCCTTGGAAATGTCACACTTTCACCAATAATGTACATTAGACCAAGGTTCAAAGTTCCACCTCTGCCTGGGCCAGCTGCTACCATCCTGCTACAGATATGCCAAACAGATAAGTCATACTGATCATAAAGCCTAGACACGAATGATGATGAATAGGGGGAACAGCCATCACTACTGTTGATTACAGCAAATATTTTAATTTGAAAGACAATCCACAAACGATAATACCAGAGAACAAACAGCAGACAGGCAAACAACAGAAAACTCTGACCAAAACACAACCCTTAAAATTTTACCAAGCCCCCAAAACACACCACACACACACACCACACACACACTCACACCCCACACACACAGTGTGCATGCATATTTTAAAAACTAACTTGGTGGGATCTGCTCCTTTAAAGTAGGCATTAACAGATTCTGTAAGGGCGATTGCCACAGGTAAAGTGTCCTGATTTCCAAGGCTGACAGGGCTGGGACCTCGTGACACACCTAGAATACATACAGTTCATTAGTTAAATCCTTCAGAAAAACATATTAAATATCAAGACAGGTAGAGTCACAATGTTAGGTTGTCACAAATCACCCTATTACTGGTTTCATTGATGCCCAAAAACTAACAAATATAGTGTAAAACAAACTGGAACATAATACAAGAAGGACCACCCCCACACCCCCAAAAATTAGAAAACATGTCACACTGACTTTTGTTTTTAATGGAATAACACAGAAGGGTTAAATAATGTCAGAAGGAAAAAGGCTTTAACTTGAAGAACTAATATTATTAAAATATGGCTGCCATAACATTCAAATACTAAATTCTTTTAGCTTCTAACAATTACAGAGTTTACATCATGAAACCGGAGTTTAGTATTTAAGCTATTTCTATCCAAGCAGTAATTTGTATACACAATTCATTATTACTACAATTCTCTTAGCCTCCCAAGTATTGCTACTGTCAGCTGCAGCTCAAGGCAACCCCATGTGTAACAGGACTGGACTACTGTGATCAACAGGATTTTCACTGTCTGATTTTTTTGGAAGTAGATCACCATCACGTCTTTCTTCCTAGTCTGTCTTAGTCTGATGCTCCACTCAAACCCGTTCAGCATCCCAGGCACAGGCAAGCTTCCGAATGACAGCTGAGTGGTAGCTATGCTTGTGATGCACTGGTCAGGAACCGAACCAGAGGCTCCAGCACGGTAGGCAAGAACTCTACCACTAAACCACCACCGGCGTCCATGAAATTATTTATTCTCATTTGAGGAAAACAATGAATGGTATATGCTTATGTTACACAATGTTTATAGCCATCAGATGTTGTTATTTCAGGTGTGATTACTACAATGAAAGCCTGAGTTACCTTTGAGATAACAAGACTATTAGTTGTGATAAAAATCAGTACTGGCTTTCTTTTTTTAAACAAACAAACAAACAAAAAAACACCAAACCCACTGCCACCAAGTCAATGTTAACTCATAGAGACTCCACATTGGGTGTCCAAGGCAGTAAATCTTTACACAAGTAGATTGCCTCATCTTCCTTCCACGGAGCAACTGGAGGTCAGCAAATTGCTGGAAAAACAGTTCAGTGTTACAAATACATAGATAAGAACTACTGCTTCAAGGCCATTAGGAAACCACCACCCCCCCAAAAAAAACATTAACTTCATGTGAAAATAAATAACTCAAGAATATGAAATGTTATTCATAAAATGATTGGGGGGAAAAAAAAAAAAGAAAAACCTATGATTTTCTAACTACAAAGGAGCTCTGGTGGTATAGTAGTTAGGGCACTTGGCTGCTAACCAAAAGGTTGGTGGTTTGAACTCACCAGGTGCTCTGTGGAAGAAAGATGGGGCAGTCTGCTTCCATAAAGATTTACAGCCATGGAAACCCAATGGGGGTTGCTATGAGTCAGAATTGACTCGATGGCAGTGAGTTTTTTTTTTTTTTCAAGGTGCTCTAGTAGGGCCGACTCGATGGCAAATAACAACAACAACAACAACTAGTAGCACAGTGGGTAAGGCATTTGACTACTAACCAGAATGTCAGTGGTTCAAACCTACCAGCTGCTCTGCAGGAGGAAGATGAGGCAATCTACCTCTGTAAAGATTCACAGCTTTGAAAACCCAATGGGGGTTGCTATGAGTCGGAATTGACTTCATGGCAGTGGGTTTGGTTTTCTTGGTAATATGTGCCAGGTACTTTGTTAAAGAGGTAATGAAGAGGGGAGGAGAAGGTGCCTTTCTAAACCAGAGGTAGTTTTGAAAAGCAGAAGCACGCTTTGTGGGTGAAGGATGGGCTGGAATGATGAAAGGACATGAAAATGAGGCTAGAGAAGTGTTTATGATACAGATTGCAGCATGGAGGACCCTCTGATTTTATCCTCTTGGCACTAAAAACCACTGAAAATGTTGAAGAGAAACACTGTTAGGTTCTTCCATTTATTAAGGTCACTCTGAGCAAAGTGGAGCCTACAGTGAAGGGAACAGTGACTTGGCAAAGATTCAACTTTGGATCAGGTGAGAGATGATTAGGTGAAAGATGTGAAATGTGAAGTGGACAAAGCAGACTAAATATAAATTAATTGATTATAACTATGCAAATACATATTTGTGCACTGGGAAAAAGTCACTGTAAATCTAAATTACTTCAAAATTTTTTTCTAATATATTGTTCTAAACTATGAGGTCATCAGAAATTCAGGAATGCAAATTTTCAGAGAAAGATAAAGACTATAATAATCTTTCTTTACTAAAGAAAATTATATGAAATTTATATTTTCCCTTGAATAGCCCATTCAAATGCATACCTCCACAAAGTCAAAGGTACTACTTTGACATTAAAAATGAAAAGATATCTACAAAGTTAGCTATTCTTTTTAATTATGTGATTTGGGCATACAACATCAGAATTCGTGAAACAGGTCCCCTGTAAACTGTCATGTCCATTACTAGACTATTGTCAAGTACAGAAAAGTGTTAGCAAGTAGGGGAAAAACTCAAAATCCACATAAACATTTGGCATATCCCTTTTGTATTTTTATTTTTCTTTTAAAATCATATGGCACATGCATACGTTAAAAAAACTCATTGACACAGGAAATTTGTACCCAAGTTCCTAAAATATCTAAAGTTATACTATATCATTTGGAATAAATATTTTTTAAAAATATTCTTTATAGGGATAGTATTTTTCCAATTTGGCTTATTTGTTTTATATTTAGGTAACTGTCTGCTTTGAAAATGCAACAAAGAGCATTTGAGATAAGCAAGGGTGTGTACAGAGGTACCCTCCTGTAATAACCAATGGATATTCATGTGCAATTCCTTTCAGCTCAGGAGTCCAAAAGAGGTTCACTCTTAACCATTCTACATCTGGCCTCTGATTTCTGCTTACTGTATTAGGAATTTTCTTTTAACTGACTCACTCTTTATCTTTTTTTTTTTTTTTAATCACTTTTTCTCTGGTTCTTGCAGCTTTAGAATTAAGATTTATTGATACTTCTTAATGTTACAGGAAGAACAGGAAGATGGAAGAAAATGCAAAAATATATCATTTTTTAATGAACAGGGGATTTGATTCCAATGGATTCTTACATAATCACTGAAAATAATTAGTATCATATTGAGATAGTTAAACTTTAAAGTTATTCTTGATTTCTGAGACATCATACTTGCTGGAAAAGGAAAAGTTAGGACACAAAGTATTTTAGATACACTTTAGGATCATTAGTCAACATATACATTTCCTTCTGATACAATACCTGGTGACGTCTCACAGTGCTTTTCAATTTCAGAGAGTGTCCCAATCAAATTATCATCTTCTATCATATTTAAATAAAACAAAATATTGCAGGAAAAGAGAACATTTTCAAGAAACAAGAAGTATCAAAATTTTAAATCTAAGAAGAAAGCTTAGTAAGCATCATGACAAAAAAAAAGAACAAGTAGATTTAAAGAACATTGTTGTACAAAATCCGTATATACTCTGCCTGCTTGTACCATTACTGTCACCTACTTTTGGTTCTCCTATTGCCAGCTTTGGCTCAAACTGTGAGCAAGTACGTACTAACTCCATCAAAATTAATGTGAAGTTTCCATCACAAAGAGAAAACCTTTGAATAATAGAGATACTGAAAAAGAAGTAAAGTATATTTTGGTTACCAAGAATACTGCCTGCCCAATTTCCAGTAGGATCAGCTACATTTTTATGTGTAAAAATACACATGTGAAAACAAAATTAACAAAACCATATGAACAAAAAGTGAGAATGCTGTTTTCATTAAAGCAAATAAAAGAAAAAAATTGGATATATTCATATTACATTAACTTAAAAACAGAAAAAAAAAATCACTATATTCACAAAGGTAATGTAAAATAAGTTGGTGACATCATGTTCAGACATTTGTTTATCTCACTTATTTTTTAACTTTTTATTGTGATTTGAATGGAAGTGTACAGAACAAATAAGTTTTCGGTTCAACAATTCATATTCATTTTGTTTCATGACATTGATTGCAATCCCCACAATGTAACATGCTTCCCACTTCCTCACTGTGTTTCCCACTTCTGTTCATCCTTTTTCCTGTCCCTTCCAGACTTCTGGGCTTTATTCCTGGGCAACAGCTGCTCTTTTGATTTTGTATGGCTGCTAAGGAGTGCCTAACCCCTCTTGTGTTATTGTTCACCTCATAGGCCTGTCTACTGCTTGGCTGAAAGTTGAGCCACTGGGGTGAGTTCAGGCTTGAAGGATGACTAAGGGTCACGGTCTCAGGGGTTCCACCAGTTTCTGTCAGACCAGTAAGCCTGGCCTTTTTAATGACTTTGAGTTTTGGTCCACATTTTTCTCCCTCTCTATCCAGGACCTTCTATTGTAATCCCTTTCAGGGCGTATGTTCAGACATTTAGAAACTAAACTAGTTGATGTTTCATTCTAGCCTATGTTATTTAAGCCATTTTTACAAGACCACACACATGAGATATATTTCTCCTAAGTTCTGATAAATTGAAATCTAATTTAATCAACTAATTAGGGCAGTGATTCTCAAACTTAAAATATATCAGAATCACCTGAAAAGCTTCTTAAAATAGACTGCTAGATCATCCCCACAGTTTACAAATTAAAAGGTCTGGATTTCTAATAAATTCTCAGGTGATACAGATGCTGCAGTTGTAAGGACCACACTCTGAGTATTACTCAATTGGTGCTCAAGGAGTGGGAACCAATGATATACAATACAAATGTACTGTATTACATCACTACCATCACAACCTAGAACCAGCAGCAACAAGGATGAGTCATTATAATTTTGATGAGAAGCTACTGCTCCCAAAACATAGATGCTTTGTTTAAGTGGTCTTGTGATTTATTATACTAACAATGGGTGAGGAAGGTAATAAGAATTTGTAGAAAGAATGGGTTAAAAGTGGTAACAGAAAAAATTCTTAAGCAAAATCTAGATGTAATAAAATACTGGATTTATTTGGTGAGGTTCAGTTTTACATTGTTGTTGTTGTTATGTGCCGTGGAGTAGGACCCAACTCATAGCAACCCTTCCTTGGGTTTCCGAGGCATTATCACTGCAGAAGTAGATTGCCCAATCTTCATTCCAAGGAGTGGCTGGTGTGTTTGAACCGCTGGTCTTCTGGTTAGCAGTCAAGTGCCTTAGGCACTATGCTACCAGAGCTCACATTGCTATGCCCAAATAGTTATTTTAAAACCTTTATTATTTAAATTCTTACAGGAAAACAAAATTCATTGCAAGCACAAAACCCTTTCCTTCATTAAATCAATTGTTTTTAAAGCACAAACTTTCTTAGGAATGCAACTATCAGTTCACAGCACAAAGAACTGCATTACATTTTGCCTCCAACTATTAATATTTATCACCAGTTGATAAATTTAATGATTTAATGCTATGATCAAAATTCTCCTATCGAGATAATACAGACTGTGAAAGAGGAAAGGAAAATGTGACTAGTTTGAAAATATGTTTCCAAATAAACACTATTTCTAATGTTGAATTCTTTACTAACCATTAAAATAATAATAATAATAATCCTGATTATACTTTGACTCTAAATTTCACAAGCAGTTGATGATAATCACTTACCTACTGTTGGAGTATTGGCCGCACTCAATGAAGCAGATGATGAAATAGAGGAAGAACTTTCTGCCCGGGCTAAGGGAGCAGCAGGAGGTGGGCTGGTGTTAGAAGTTATAGGTGGACTGAATGGCCTGGGCTTAAAAAAACAAACAGTTATTTATCAAAATGCTAAAATAACGCCTCCACTGTCAGAAAAGATTTTAGGTACCCAAAAAGTTTAATTTTAATATACCAAACCAAATTTAGTGTGTGAGAGTCTCAGATCTCAGAGATGTATAGGTCAAGTCATTTTTGAAAATATATTTTAAGTTGAAAAAAAGGCAGTTTTATAATAATGCTGTGACCAAAATCAAACTCACTGCCATCGAGTTGGATCCAACTCATAGCGATGCTGCTCCTTGGGTTTCCAAGGTGGTATCACTATGAAAGTAGATTGCCCAATCTTCCTTCTGAGGAGTGGCTGGTGGGTTTGAACCGCCAGCCTTCTGGTTAGCAGTCTTTATTCATAAAACATTTTCTGTATATCAAAATTTGGCTTAATACAGACTCTAAGAAGTTAAATTATTAAACAATATTAAGGTTCTTATACATACTACCAAACTGCTTCCCAAAAGGATTATTCACTGTACCCTACTGCCCATAAGATACTTAAATATATGAGTATAACTATTTCTCAACATCCTTGCCAGAAATGAATGGGTAAGCCTCAGAAGCAGCAAAAATAATTAAAACAAAACAAACAATCAACCACTCAGCTAATTTGATAGATTAAAAACAATTTGCATCTTCTCTTTTATGAATTGTCTACATTAGCTTTGTCTAGTTTAGTTTTGGGAGGTCTTAGTCTTACCTGAGATTTAACTAACCCTTTGTTTTATTTGCTACATATATCTCCTCCCTAAATATCGCTTGCTTTTTACGTTTGGTGTTCACAAATCTGTCTATACTTTCTTTTGTAATTTCTTGTAATGCTTTCTCATTGAGAAGGTACACCTTCAATACACAAAAGTTTGAAAACAATTATGAAAAATATTAACTCCAATTCATTCATCTTTTACTTTGGCGCATAGGTTTTTTTCCCTTCAAAATGCCTAATTATTCAAATAATGCATTAGCAACACTTTATGAGGTGTTTCACTTTTTAAAATTAGGTATACTTAGCTTAATTTTAAAATAACTTTTTCATACTGTACTTTTAAAAGTATTAAGTGAATACAACACGTATTTATTTAGTGTTCTATTATGTATCAGGATCTGGGTTACGTACTTAAGAGACAAAGCAGTGAACCAGAGAGACACTGTTACTGTCCTCATTTATTTGAGGAACATAAAAAACAAAAGGCAAAAATAAAACTCCACAAGCATTCACATACTGAAACCAATCTACCCTTCACTATATGATTATGAGCTTACAGATATATATATTTAAAAAATTAGATTAATACTGCATATAATGTTTTAAAGTCTGTACCTCCCTCCATATTTAACTACTCTTTAACTATTTTTCCAAAGTATGGCCTTTTTATGACTCAACATTATGCAGCTACGTAGGCAGATGAAGGTAAAACAAAACAAAACAAAACAAACTCACTGCCGAGTCAGATGTGACTCACAGTGACCCTCCTTGGGTTTCTGAGGCAGTATCTCTACAGAAGTAGATTGCCAAATATTCCTTCCTAGTAGTGGCTGCGGAATTCATCAGCACATCTGAAGCTTACATGCTTGGAAAAGTCTTGAACTCAGCTACTGTGAGGGACATTTTTCCTCATGGGCAATGTAACATGGCTGCATTTTTTACAGTGCATTTTATAATTTTTCAGAAAAAGGCAAAAAAAAAAAAAAAAGCACTGTGTAGTACAGTAGCTGTTAGCCACATGTGGCTGAGAACTTGAAATGTGGCTAAGACCAAATGGAGATTGAGCTGTAAGTATAAAATACACACTAGATTTCAAAGATTTAGCACCAAAAAATATATACAAAATAGCTGATCATTTTTATATTTATTACATACCAAAATAATACTATTTTTATTACTAGACAAAGTAAAATTAATTTCAGGGTTATTTTTTTTAATGTGGTTACTAGAAAATTTAAAATTACGTATGTTGCTTGCATTCTGTTTCTATTATACCAAACCAAAAAACCAAATGCACTGCCATTGGGTCAGATCCAACTCATAGCAACCCCTCCTTGGGTTTCGGAGGTGGTATCACTACGGAAGTAGATTGCCCAACCTTCCTTCTGAGGATTGGCTGGTGGGTTTGAACTGCCAGCCTTCTGGTTAGCAGTCAAACGCCTTAGGCACTACACCACCACTTTAAAAGAGTAGTTCTGAAACATGAGCATGCAGTAGAATCACTTGGAGGGCTTGTTAATAAAACACAAATTGCTGGACCTCCTCTGCTCAAATTTCTGACTGTTTGGGGTGCAGCTAGAGAAAAATGAATTTCTACCAAGTTCCCAAGTGATGCTAATGCTGCTGGTCTGGGGACCATATTTTGAGAACCACTGATCTAGAGCAATGAGGCAGTCTCACCAGGGGCTAGCAAGGGGTGTTACAAAATGTTCTGAGTAGCCAGTGAAAGCTATGAGCCCTATCAGAAAAGCGCACACATACTCGTGCAAGGAAAAAGCATTCCAAGGTACAGCTGGAGAGAACTGAAATCAGTATGACCTTTTTGATGGGCAATTGTCAAAGAGTCTTAAAAATGTGCACACCCTTTAGTTTATGAATTTCACTTAAATTTTTTTTACTAAGCAAATAACAAATGTCTACAAAGAAGTGAGTGCAAGGATATTCATTAAGGCATTGTTTATAATAATGAAAATGTAGAAATAAACTAAATGTCAAACAAATTTTCAGAAACTACAAACTTTTAGAAATTCAATTCTGGCAACAGTCTAGAAGAGGAAGTCATTTAAAAATTACTATGCACCTGACAATTTTTTAAGTGTTTTATATGTATTAGCTCATTTAAGTCTCATAGCACCCTGTTAAGTATTATTATTCTCATTTTTCCCATGAGGAAACTGAGAATCTGAATAACTAACTTGCCTAAGGTTGCTCTGCTAGTAAGTAGCTAATAAGCCTGTGCTTTTAACCACCACATTTAACAAGTTCTAGATAAATAAATATTTATGCATTAAAAATAATGAAAGGATATATGTAAAAATTTAACAGTGGTTATCTTTGTAAGGTAAAATTTAGAGGAATTTATTTTCTCTCTGTATTATTTATGTTTTCCAAATTTTACATAATCATGCACTGCTTTTATAATTAGGGAAAAAAGTTACTTAGATGTAGTAACTTTTATACTATTTAAATAACCATCTCCTTGGTAGCTTGCCTCTAATCTTTCATTTCACTTCTACTAAATTTGTTCACTGGGATAAAAGATGACATTATTTCAACATCCCTGAACATTTCCTATGTACCATGTGATAGGCATTGTGCACAGTACTAAGGATATGAAATTGTCTCATAGTCTAGTGAAGGGAACACAAACACAAAGTATACATATTGTGATATGTGCACTAATGGAAATATGAGCAAAGCATTATCAGACATAAGGAAGAGAATGATTAGACCCACTGAGGGAGAAGTGATGGGATGATCAAAGAGGGCTTTACCTAGGTGGTGATATTTAGCGAGGTCTTAAAGAAAGATGTCAGTTTGCTACAGAGAAAACTAAAGGATATTGTAGACAGAAGGAACAGAAAAAGAAGACATGCATATGTAAGAGAGCATGATGTGCCTGGAGAACACTGTAAAGTTCCAAGCAGCTGAAGCTACTATGGTTGCAAAGAGGAGAAAGCTGGGCAGTTAATCTGGTAATGTAGATTGCTGAGGCAACTTTATAAAAAGCCTACATTACTTAACCTTAATACTCAGCTACAATACTCAACCTTGCAAATTATGGGGAACCATCTGTGCTATCAAGGGAAAAAAATAAGATCAAGTTTGACTTTTATAAATTTAAATTTTCCTTTTGGCAACAATGTAGAAGATAGGTCAGAACAGAATGGATTGGAAACAAGAAGACTGGTTTGGGAGAGCCTCCTGGGAATTGAGTCCATAGGTTTTCTTTCATCATCTGATGACTTCTGGAGACCAGTGTTTTTTTTAAAAAAAAAAAACATACACAGACACACATATTTATATAAGTTATTTAACTTATGTGAGCTCCTAATGTGTAAAATAAACAAAGCTGGACTAGACTCCATCTAGAACCCTCCTGGCAGTATCCTTCCAAGGCTAAAGAAACAAGCCGCCAGCTTCTTCCTTAATATTTGACTTAAGCAGAATTATATGAAAATTGCTTCTTCATTGTGAAGCAGTAGGTTCTGGATGTAATTTGTCAACTTTCTCAGGAAATCTTTTGGCTCCTGAACAATAAATATCCTGCTCCACAGGTAGGATCACTGAGGTAATAAATACTGGGGAGTCAAGGGTGCTGCTGGTTGGGAAATTTTTTCTATATTTCACTGACTTGAGAAGAACACTTCAAGCATTTAACTATAAAGGGGCATACAGAAAAATATCATTTGCATCTTAAACTAAAACAGTTAAATAATTTAAAAAAAAAAAAAAAAACACCTGAGTACATACTATTTCATTAATCCCACTGAGTTTGCCTGAAGTAAGCTTTGGTCTGGAAGCAGGCCTTGGAGGTGGGACAATGGTGCCTACAGAAAGAGGAGTTGTGGGCCTGGCTGGTGGGGGAAAAAAGAGAATTTGAAGAAAATCATTAGTATGTAGCAATCCTTATGTAAAGATATTCTACTATAGAAGAACTGTTAGGATTCAAAGTTTATTTTTCATGAGTTTTTTTTAAAGGTAATTATAGGTATTTGCTGAAATATTGGGAATTTATCAAATATGCTTTTTTTTTTTAAAGTTACCAATAATATTCCTGAAAAAAAAGTTAACCTTTTAATAAAACTAATAAACATAATATAAATTTTATTGTTTTAATCATGCATACATATAAAAAATTCAATCTCATAAATTAGCTGGTAAAAATAAACAAAATTTAAGGCCTAAGGTCTTTAGTCTATTGCCAATACATCTACTTTACAGACAGTAATGCAAGACCAAGCCCTTGAAGCAGTATATTCGAAATAGTTAACAGAATGCTAAATATGACACTTACCTTAATTAAACTTATTAATTTGACTTTTAAGTTGAATAATGTTGTAACACTTTTTTTTTTTTTGATAATCAAAAGCATTAAAGGAAAAACAAAATTTGTAATAGTTTATCAAAAATTGCCTAAAATCAATTCAATTAATTTTTGGTAAGTGTTTAGAATATCATCTTCAATTTTCTTAAATCCTATACAAATTTAAGGAGCTCTGCTAGCTTAGTGCCTAAGGCACTTGACTGCTAACCAGAAGGCTGGTGGTTCAACGCCACCAGCTACTCCTCGGAAGGAAGGTTGGGCAATCTACTGCCGTAGTCATACTGCCTTGGAAACCCAAGGAGGGATCGCTTTGAGTCGGGTACAACTCCACAGCACATAGCAACAACAACAACATACAAATTTAATATTCATTGTTTTTCAATGTCATTTGGGTTTTTACAGTTTTACGAATTAGGAATACTAACCTCAGTAGTCCTAACTAAAAATAATTCCTTCTATAGTAGAAATAACCAAATGAAAATGAAAAATACAACATAAAAAGTCACAAATTTTAGCATTAAAGCAAAAATGAAGAATAAAGAGAAATAAGCTTAAATCATCTTAAAATAAATTAATCAGAATGATTTTCAAATCCCTCCCATCCATTCCAAACTATGGGGCTATAATTTAGAACTGAAGAATAGAATATAACATGGATGGGAAAAAATATATTTTAACTTTGTCCACCTGCAAACTTAACTGACTCAAAAAAAAATTTTTGTTTTGAGTCAGTTAAGTTTGCAGATGGACAAAATTAAAAGTATATGCATGGGCCTAAGTATGTTGTTGTTAGGTGCCTTCGAGTCAGCTCTGATTGACAGTGACCCTATCTATGTACAACAGCAGAATGAAACACTGCCTCGTTGTGCAACAGCCTCACAATCCTTGTTAGACTTGAGCCCACTGGTGCAGCCACTGTCAATTCATCTTGTTGAGGGTCTTCCAATTTTTTGCTGACCCTCCACTTTACCAAGCATGATATTCTTCTCCAGGAGATAGTCTCTTCTGAAAACATGACCAAAACTGGTGAGTCAAAATCTGGCCATTCTCACTTCTAAGGTACATTCCAGCTGTACTTCTTCCAGAACAGATTTGTTCATTCTTCTGGCAGTCCATGGTATTTTCAGTATTCTTCACCATAATTCAGAAGCATCAATTCTTCTTCAGTCTTCCTTATTCACTGTCCAGCTTTCACATGCATAGGAGGCAACTGAAAATACCATGGCTTGGGTTAGGCTCACCTTAGTCTTCAAAGTCACATCTTTGCTCTTCAGCACTTAAAAGAGTTCTTTTGCAGCAGATTTGCCCAGTGCATTATGACATCTAATTATTGCTGCTTCTATGGTACTGACTGTGGATCCAAGTAAAATGAAATCTTTGACAACTTCAATCCATTTATGGGCCTAATTATACACATGGGGAAACAAACAGTAAAGTTATGTGCCCCTTGAATAATGATAGAGAAAGGAGGCAAGAAAGGAAGAAACATGGAAGTGGTAGGAGGAGAACAAAAAAAAAAGACTTATCACGTAGGTGTAAAAGTGAATGCGTTGGGGGTGGGGAGTCAATTAGAAAACATATGAGGAAATGAAAGATACAAGGACAATTCAGGTGGCTTGAAGAAAACAGTAAAAAGCTAGCAAGATACCAAATTTAGATTATAACGCTGCCATTTTCTTTTAGTCAGCGCCACTCTCTCATGATGCACTCATACTTAAAGCTATACACTGGAAGAAATGTGCACCAACCTGAGGAAAAGAACACTTCCCTGTGCTACAACATGTCCACTTTAAAAGTATGTTCATTATCAATGAAACCAGCACTGACCTGTACTATTATTTCAAGTTTGTAAGACAGCTTAATAGAGCAGCATTTTCACCTAGAGCTTTATTATTTACCAAGTGGTCTATACTCATGACATTTAAATGGCCTCAAACCAAGGTTGGTAGAAGTATTTACATTTAACTTCTTCAAACAAACCAGAAGTTTTTGAGGGGCAGCTAATAACAGTACTTAGACACACTGCACTGAATCTTTTATTACATCTGCTATCAATTAACAACTGCTTCTAGAAGCCTCTGGAGGAAATGACTACAACTGTTTACATTTTTAAGTGTCCTAATTGTGTTTTGATATTTGGTGGTGGCAGTTCACTGCTAAGAAATATCAATTAAATGTAGTATTTCAAGAAATATGAAGTGACGTGTAAAACACAGAAAAAACCCAAAACCAAACCCATAGCTACAGAGTTGTATCCAACTCATAGCCACCCCTCCTTGGGTTTCCAAGGAGATATCACTATGGAAGTAGATCACTCATATGGGTTAATTTATACCTGTCCTCTGACATTACCTAAGAAGACATGTTTGCCATGCCATTCTTTATCTGAACAAAGGCAGAGACTAATCTAGAAACCAGAAGCAATGGTGATGATGTAGAAGAATTATCAACAGCATGGGTAACTTCTTCGGTCAGTAACTTTTCAGAACAAAGGTCACTTTGATCCTCAGAGATGAGCTGTTTAAGACCTCCAATCATCAGGTAACCTGAAGGTATTTTCAGCTTTACAATACAATCTCTGGAATGCCTTCTGAGCTGCACCGGAGTGATTAACTGTTAAAAGGCTCATCATTAAGGAAAATCCACTGACTTTGACCATGAAGCAAAAGGAAGCATATCTGCACTCTCTGCTAGTGCTGTTACAGCAGGATAGCATAGAGGGTTAGGGTGATGGGCTTCTAGCCCCAGAATCTGACCTGGTTTCAAGGAAAAGACTCAGTTAGTACACACTCAATTAAATCAGTGGAAGAGAAGTTCCTATTTGGATCTTTAAGGACAACTGAAGGAAAAGAAAACAATTGAAAACTAGAACAGGAAGATTCTGGAACTGAAATATAAATCTACACAGATAATGATTCTCTTGTTTCACTTAATGTTATTCTTATTACCAGAAACTAGAAAAATTTAATAATGGAACACTAACATGAGCTCAGGAGCTCTGGTAGCTTAGTGCCTAAGGCACTTGACTGCTAACCATAAGGCTGGCATTCAAATCCACCAGCCACTCCTCGAAGGAAGATGGGGCAATCTACTTCTGTAGTGATACTGCCTCGGAAACCCAAGGAGGGGTCGCTGAGTCAGTTCCGACTCGACGGCACATAACAACAACAACAACAGCATGAGCTCAAACTTTATTAACTGAGGAAAGCAGGTATGAGCATAAGAAATTTAAAATACATTTGAATAAAAATGAATGTCCAGAAATATATAAAGCCAGAGTCATTTCTGTTTTCCCAGAAGAACAAAGGTAACAGTTGGTACAACATCTAAAAAGGTGACAAAGTGGCAAAGTGATAGTTCTATGAATATATGGTATTCATAAAAGTTCCTGACTAATGATAAAAGTGTCTCAGGAGGTAAGTTAGACTAAATCAGTGTTCAAGCTAACAAATTAATATAAAAAAAAACAGCCTAATATTTTTCAAATGATAGTTTTAAGGAGTTTCTGCAAAGCACAAGAGCTCTTTTAATTCTTGGACAGGGAAGAAATGTAAGTCTAATAAGTCTTATCAAAGGGAAGGGAAGTATGAGATATTTACGTGAAATAAAGAGGTGCGTGTATTAAAAATGTCTTAGAAATAGTAGGCTACATGGTAGAGGAGGCAACTAAATCATTTGCCAAGCTCTAAATATCCTCTTTAAAACATGTTACAACACTAGGAGGATTAATACATCAGTTATTATAGAAGCAAAAAATTACTTTTGCCTGGTAGTTATTAACTGGTGGGTTGGAATTGTTTCTTACATTGCTTTCTAATAATTTACCTGAGATCAGGTCACTGATAAATGAACATTTTGAAAGAAGCAAAGGAGGGTAGGAAATTACCAGACAACTTGGATCTTGTTAAAATGTGAAAAAAGGTAACTGAGTAGAGGATGTTAACATGGGGAAAAGGTGCACTACACTGCAAAAAGAGGTAGCACAAAATGTGAAACAAAATGTCTATTTCATAATTTTAAGTAGGGCCAGACTTGCAAAACAGAATAAGATCAATAATGTAATTCTATTTGAGCAATAATTATATTCAGTTCAAGTGAAGAATTTCAAATAATTACTATATAATAGGATAATTATTTTTTTCAACATCACTAATATTTTTTGAAGGGCAAAATAATTTATGACATTATTTTTCAGAATATATGGGGAGGTTTGAAAATGCACAGTGAAGTGAATTTAAAAACTAGTAAAAGCTTAACAAATATTTTAACATTTTCTGGTTGTTAAAATCAAATGACCACTGAATGAAAATGTGTCTTTTTTAACCTGAAGTGAAGGTAATATGGGTGAAACACTCGTTAGACAGGTAACAAGAGGAAGAGAGAGAAGGTTTTTGAAAAAGAAGAGACTGTACTAAAGAAAATAGCAAGAAACAAAGCACAGAATTATAAAGAAATTCCTATATAATCAAAGCCTCTGTCACGACATTTAAAAATTTTATATTAACTATTTGAATAAGTAATGCATTAAATAATATTAATACAATTTAAATATGATACCTGGAATCCTCTTCATGCTAAATACAAACACCATCTGACATTTTTGTAAACAAAACTAAGACCTTACTTAATAGCTTGAGTTTTTCCTGTACCATTACTTCCCTTATACAATTTATTTGATAGTTTAGTTTTATAAAACTGGTTAGCTGCCATCAGTTTGGCTCCTGACTCATGTCAATCCCAAGCACAATGGAATAGGACTATTGTGAGCCACAGGTTTTCACTGGCTGATTTTCTGGAAGCAGATAACCAGGACTTTGTTCCTCGTCTGCTAGTCTGGAAGCTCTGCTGAAACCCGTCCAGCATCACAGCAACTAACCTCCAGATGGTGGTGGATCCACTTAAGGCACGCTGCCCTCTTTATAAAGCTCAGTGGTAGTAAACGCCCATTAAAAAAGCTGTATCATCACTTCAGAAAATGTTCATCTATCTACTGACCTGTTTCTTGCTATTTTACAAGTATTAGGTACAGATCTGGTGGCATAGTACTAAGGCATTTGCTAACCAGAAAGTTGGCAATTCAAACCTGCCAGCTCTTCCACAGAAGGAAGACTGGGCAATCTGCTTCCATAAAGATTTACCACCTCAGAAACCCAATGGGAGTCACTATGAGTCAGAATCGACTCAATGGCAGGGAGTCTGGTTTTTTTTTTTGGTTTAGGTACAGATTGCGCTCCCTTAAAAATTTCAGTTTAGGGTTAACGTTGCCTATAATCCATTCACAATTTATTTAAAAAACATTTAGTCTCTAAAGAGTCTAATTTTAAATATGGTATTTATTTTATTACTAGTAGTAAAATGTTTCAACATGGCTTTGTTTTTTGTTAATCTGCCAGGGTATAATGAATACAGAAAAAAATTACAATTAGCAAAATCAAAGTTTGAACAGAGGTACCATCATTTCCTAGCTATATGATCTTGGAGAAATTACTTAGTATATCTCTTACTTAGCTTTAGTATACTCATTTATAAAATAGAGATAATAACTAAGGACATTATGCAGCTGTTAATTAGATAAAATGAAATAGAAAGTATATAGTCCTAGCAGAGTGACACAGCAGGAACACAATAGATGTAATTCCCATCCCTTCCAGTTCTAGGAGTTCCATAACCCCAAATAGTGTATTGCAATTCTAAAACCCCAGAGAAGAGAAGGAGCTTAAAGATCAATTTAAAGTGATTTTATTTTCTTATTCTGAGGATGCAGGGGCTTTATTAAACATGCATTTTTGATGCCTGCTTTGATTACCAGCTAATGGGTAATTTTATATTTTGAAGAAAAAGAAACTTAACTAACTGTTTCGGTTACCTAGTGCTGCTCTTAACTACTACACTTAACTACCACAAACTTAACCACAATTCCACCCCTTGTCAACTTGGCACCAGTACAGATCTTCAATAGGTAGCATCTGTACAGATCTCCTTCACTAGGTGGCTCTAATCACCTAGTCCCTGAGTGGTGACTTCACCCCCTTGGCCTGGTGGGCGCCGTTCCTCTCCCTCTTGGGCAGCGGATATGGCTCCATCCCACTGGCTCACATGAACAAGAAGCCCTACACTCCAGAACCAAGTTGGTGAAGGTCTAACTCTTTTAAACCTAGGGGGCTATGGTGGTTCTACCCCCAGAGGCCATGGTCCTACCCTTTGAGGCTGAAGTAGCTCTGCTTCTCGTTTCCTTAGCTTAGTCTCTCCACTTCTGCCAATTAATGCCAAAGGCAACCTACTCTGCTGGAATCTTCCTGCCCCAAAAGCACTCAGCTGTCTTGCTCCGTGGGCTGGCCAACCTGCTATTCCCATTCATGCTGGTCTCTTCTACCAATTAATGCCTGAAGGCAACCCACTCCACCAGGAAGCCACCTGTGCTTTCTCCTCCATGGGCTGGTAAGGCTGTCGCTGTCTTCATGTCCATCTCTCTGGCTCTGCTTCTGCCATCTCTCATGCTGGTCTCTCGACTCTGCTCCTGCCATCTCTCATGCCGGTCTCTTGGCTCTGCTCCTCCCATCTCTCATGCCATATCCCAGGGTCTCTCTGCCTGGGTCTCAGGTGTAGGATGTAATGTACTCCTGTTTCCACATTTTAGGTATCTGTGAGAGCAGCACTCCACTCTGTCGGTACCATACTCTGTTTTGGTTACGTAGTGCTGCTCTGACAAGAATATAACACAAATGGGATGGCTTGAACAAACAGGAATTTATTCTCTTACAGTTTGGAGGCTTTAAGTCCAAGCCCTCAACTGTGGGCTTTAGCTCTGCCTCCTGCTCCCAGCCCACTGAAGCTGGAGGCTTTTCTTCACTCAGCTGTTGGCTATTGAGGCTAACAAACCCAAGGTTAACAAGTAATAAGGCACAGTCCCGATGTTACCAAACCATAAGGCAGGCCATTAATTCAAGTTCATTAAAGTTCCCATGCCTGCAGAGCATGGCAGGCTGCTGAACAATAACACGGCTACCACATGCAGGGTTCAAGCGTGCCATAAGCTAGAGACTGTTTCCCAAGGCTTCTCCTTATATACAGGAAGCAGACCATATCCCTAAGGCAGCTACCAAGCTGCTCACAGTAGATTCCACCATGGAGCTGACTATCAGTCTCATCATGGGGAGGGAATATTATATCCAGTTGCCCAGCTACTCAACCATGCCCAACCAAGATGATACACAAATTTAACTACCACACTAACATATTCTTACTAAAACAACCAAAAAACCATCAAGTTCTTCCATACATTGCTTAGATAGCATGAAAGCCTTTCTGGAAAGCAGTTTGGCAATAAACATCTATGGACAGATAGTGAGACCCATTAATTTTATACTGATTAATTATTATAAGGATAAGACATGAGTAAAATTTATAATATCCATGGATGTTTATAATATTTAAAAATTAGATACAACTTGAATGTCCATCAAAAAAAGAACATTAATGCATGTCTACGCATCTGAATTCTCTACAAATAATTAAAAAAATTGGTATGATACAGAATGATATCTAGCAATAAATAAATATATAAATGAAAAAGCATCCTTGGTGTTTGATAAATTTCTGTTTAAGCCATGAGGTTCTTAAGCTAACTTAACAAAAACTGCCTTGTATCTGGCAATATCATCCAAGGACAAGTTAATAATTTTTTTTTTTTTTTATCATTAAGCACAATAAACAAGTGGTATATAAATAAATTTATTTTAAAATTTAACTATTGTCTTCCTCAGTTAAGAACAACAATAAAATAAATATATACACACACATACATATTTACCTGATGATGATGAAGTTAGTGGAGTTGAAGATGATGAATCAAGAGATGGTCCAAACAGAGGGTCCCAAGCCAGTAAATCACTGGTCCCTTTTCTATCATAACATTTAAAAGACAAGAATTTTAACAAAGGACTATTTCACTAGTATAAAATCTAGTCACTTTATTTCATAAAAGGAATTATAACAGCCCAAAACACATGATTAAGATGATGGATAATCTTCCACCAGCATCTGGAGAAACTTAACAGATTTAATAAACAATTACTTGGTAAGTGCTACAAGCAGAATCTACAATAATATTATACTTCTCCTCACTTACTATCTCATTATATGACATTCTGCATTTACAACGAAGTAAAAAAAAATAACAATTTGACAATTTTTCACATTGACAACATACATATGGCAGTAATGAATGCCAACATACAAGCTAAAAGTAATGCTGGCTTTAAGTAGTGATGGTTAAGGTATGTGTCAATTTGGTGGGGCCATGATTCTCAGTGGTTTGGCAATTATATGATGACATTTGGCAGTTATGTAATGATATAATTTGCCAGTTAAAAATTTTAAAATTTGGTAAGTAAAATTTTGTTGAAGATAACTGAAAAATGGTTGCAGCAGTACATCAATAGGGAACTGCCAGCAATTCAAGGTGGAATTGGAAGATGGTATGGGACAAGGGATATCATTGCTGATGTCAGATGGATCTTAGCTGAAAACAAAGAATACCAGAAAGATGTTTATCTGTGTTTTATACACTATGCAAAGGCTTTTGACTGTGAATCATAAGAAATTATGGATAATACTTTGAAGAATGTGAATTCCAGAACACTTAATTATGCTCATGAGGAACCTGTAAATAGACCAAGAGGCAGTGGCTCAAACAAAACAAGGGTGTATTGCATGGTTTAAAACTAGGAAGGGTGTGTGTCAGGGTTGTATCATTTTGCCATACTTATTCAGTCTGTATGCTGAACAAATAATCTGAGAAGGGAGACTATATGAAGAAGAATGCAGTATCAAGATTGGAGGAAGACTCATTAACAAACTGAGATGTGCAGAGAGCATCATCTTGCTTGCTGAAAATGAAAAGGACTTGAAGCATTTATTGATGAAGATCAAAGACTTCAGTATGGATTATACCTCAACATAAAGAAAACAAAAATCCTTTCAAGTAGACCAGTAAGCAACATTAAGATAAATGGAGGAAAGATTGAAGTTGTCAGGGATTTCATTCAACTTGGATCCATAATCAACATCCATGGAAGCAGCAATCAAAAAAATCAAACATTATTACATGGGCAAATCTGCTGCAAAATACCTCTTTAAAGTATTAAAGAGCAAAGATGTTGCTTTGAAGACTAAGGTGCACCTGACCCAAGCCATGGTATTCTCCATTGCCTCATATCCATGTGAAAGCTGGACAGTGCAGAAGGAAGACTGCAAAAGAATTGATGAATTTGAACTGTGGTGTTGGTGAAGAGTATTGAATATACTAAAAGAGCTGTTGTTGTTGAGCTAACAGAGTACTGACTGCTAAAAGAATGAACAAATCTGTCTTGGAGGAAGAACAGCCGGAATGCTCCTTAGAAGTGAAAATGGCCAGACTTGTGTCTTGTATACTTTGGTCATATTGTCAGAAGGGAAAAATCCCTGGAAAAAGATATTATGCTTGGTAAAAGAGTCAGTGACAAGGGGAAAGCTTTTCAAAAAGATGCATTGACACAGTGACTGCAACGATGGGCTCAAGCATAGCAATGATTGTGACAATGGCGCAGTTCAGGCAATGTTTTTGTTCTGCTCTATACAGGTTCACTATGAGTCAAATTGACTTGATAGCATTTAATACCAAATAAAATTTGGCAGTTTTATAGCTATGTTGTCATCCTACATTTTGTGATCTGATGTAGTTATCCTCCATTTTTGCCTAATGCCAATTTTCATATAATAACGTGGTCTTTGAAACCTAATCATGTTGATGAGTGAGAAGTCAGTGTATATGAAATTGGTAGGGTAGAATCAGGAAGACTCATCCCCATTGATCGAATAACATTAAGGGATGTAAGAATTGGAATAATATTTTCAGCTTTTCAGATGAAGAAAAGCAGCACAAAGCTGAAATGAACTGCTCCAGGACACACAATTCTAATAGCTGGCTGATTCACAACTTGGTACCCAGTCTTGCATAGAACATTTCTTAATTTATGTAAAAATTGGGTGGGTATTTTCATAAGGCTATATTTATTTTCAAAGATAAAGAAAATGGGTAAAGAATATATGTACATATATTTTCAAAGAAGAAGAAAAAGGATAAACTCATTGCTGGCAAGTCAATTCCAACTCATAGCAACTGTATAGAGCAGAAATGTCCCATGGGGTTTCCAAGGCTGTAAATCTTTCTAGAAACAGGCTGGTGGGTTCACATTGCTGACTTTGGGCAGCAAATGAGCGCTTGTTCTGGTTACCTAGTGCCGCTCTGGCAGAAATATACCACAAATGGGATGCTTGAACAAACAGGAGTTTATTTTCTCAGTTTGGAGGTTTTAAGTCTGATTTTAAAGTGCCAGGCTCCAGGGGCTGGGTGAAAGCGCCTTAACCTTGGGCTTCAGCTCTGCCTCCTGTTCCCGGCGCTCTAGAGCTAGAGGCTTTTCTTCACTGACAGTTGCTGGCTGCTGAGGCTGACAAACCCAAAGTTGACAAGTGAAAAGGCACAGTCCCGATGTTACCAAACCACAGGGCAGGCCTTTAATTGAAGTCTATTGAAAGTCCCAAGGTCAGCAGAGCATGGCAGGCTGCTGAACAATGACACAGCTACATGCAGGGTCCAAGCGTACCATAAGCGAGAGACCATTCCCAAAGCTGCTTCTTATATATGGGAAGCAGACCACATCCCTAAAGCAGCTACTAGCTGCTCCAATACATTCCACCATGGAGTTAATTACCAATCTTACCATGGGGAATAATTACATCCAGCTGCCCAGCCATTCAACCAGACCTAGCCAAGTTGACACACAAACTTAACTACCACAGCGCTTAACTGCTGCACCACCAGGGACATGTTGAAAACAGGTGTTTGTGTGTATAGATAATTACTTCTGAAGTACAGAATGATGGTCTAAATATGTTAACATATCCAAATTCAATTATTAAAAAATATATAATACATCTTAAATTGCAGGCTTGCTGTAACAAAAATATTACATACCTAGGATCTATATCTTGTATAATAAAACATATTACAATTGTATAAATGATTTTTAAAAACAAAGTTTTTAAACATTAAATAACTTACTTTAAAAAACTATCAATCAAATGAATAAATAATCACCACTGTGTTCAAGTAGTGCCTACCTTAAAAAATATGGAATAATCTTAAATGGTGCTGGCAAAACTGGAGATCCATTTGCAGAAAAATGAAACAAGATCTGTACCTCACACCATACACAAAAACAAACTCCAGATGGATCAAAGACTTATATGTGAAACCTAAAACTATACAGTTCCTCAAGGAAAAT